CAGAATGCAAGTGAAAATCATTAATAGCCCGCTGATATTAATGATCACATAATTTGGCAACAGCAGAAGAGCTTTTAATCTTAAAAGAATACAGGAGGTGTTGAGTTAAAACCTTTTTTTATATATTTTTCATATTCAACAGATATAGACATTGAAACTGTAGTGAAAGGTGTATATATTGCTGGTATGTTTACATGACTTTATCAATCACTATTGATTTTCTCTATCAATCATTATTAAGGCTGCACTGATATTTTTGTGTTTAACATGTTCAATGATGTGCCAGGTTTTTCTTATGTTATCATGTTTCTTCATGATGCTGCATTATTTCCATTCCATTACTATTATATTTGTATCATTGCAGCTGTTGCATTCTGGTTTGTTGCCTTTCTAAGCACATAGCATTGTATCATCCCAAAAGCATGCCAGCCAAACTTAAGTAGGGCGATTAATTTTATTCCCCACTTGGACTAAAACTCGCATGGTGGTGTTGTAAGCCAAAAATGCAATCACTGGATAGCATCGTTGTGACCATTCACGAATCCAGGAACTTTAACTCCAGCCCAGCCCACTCTGCAAATTCAGACCAGACTGCTTGTATTGGAACCATTTTGTTGACAGAGCTTTCCTTCCAGTTTTTATAGTCCCTGGCCAACAAAAGAAAAAGTGATGTGATGTATTAATGCCTACCAAAAGTAGCTGCTTTCTAAAACTTGCCAGATAATGGACCACATTGAAATGACAATAATAGATGCAGACCTCCCGGGTCCAAACAATGCATAAAAGACTTGAGCAAAGTTTTGAGGCGACATAGTAATTTTAATTTCAATGGGCTCAACAGAAAACACAGTAAATATTTAGAAAATCTCTCACCCTTGTCCATAAAGCACAAAAACACATTGTTATCTGTGAAGCTGTGCACCTGCTGAGAGATTCAGTACACCTGTACAATCTAAAGCAGTCCAGTAATATGGTCATTTGTAGGCCCTATGTAGTGGTGGTTTTGTATTGGACTGCATTACGTTAAAATATCTTACTAATGTTTTGCCTCCATTTCCATACATAAGAGATTTCACACAATTGAAATCCCGCCATCAGGTTAAAAGCAAGGGAACCATAGGTATAGATCTGACTGAAAATACCTTGCTTTTGTTTTCTTTTGAATTTTAACTCTATGAATGGCCAGTCTGGATCTGCCTTTCAATCGATGTTGTGACAGACTATTGTTCACACACACTGTTATGCTGTCTGGCATGGTGCAAGAACATAATACGTTTTTCTTCACCCTGTGTTTCTCTTCTGCGAGGTGTTGGGTTTGTTTGTCTCTCCCAGCCCAGTACATAACACATGATGCTTGTATGCATACAGACAGACATCTACATGACTCATCCTCTGATCACAGATAAGAAGGACCTAAATATAAAACATAATCTATATATATATACATGTATTGCAAAACTGTGTTATTAGTTTGTCTAAAATGCTGCTTCCAGAGTTGCCTATGTGGAGTAGCCTGTGTGTATATTTGTGTTTTATAATACAAAAATTGGTGATTTATTTTGGCTACCCAAAATGGGTTCATTAAAAAATAAAACAAATTTAATTTTATAAACACGATATCCCTTTTTCACAGCCGCCATTTAAACATGAAATAATAAGGTGAACACGGGTGTTACCAGTGATATTACTTGAGGTTTGATTCCATTTGGTGTAGCAGAGCCTTTCCGGGGAGCCAACATGCACAATAGCAGCACCCTGACTCTGTTTGACCTGAATGGAACAGAACCTTAATTAGTATGATTGGTAACACCAGTATTTATCCTACCATTTCATGTCAAAATAGCTACTTTAAAAAAGGTCTGCAGGTTTGCAGCACAAATTCTCAGTAAGCTCGTTCAAACTGTTAATTTTTGTTACTTACTCTGTTGCATAATAAGCAGCTAATTTGTCTTTTTCCCCTATGTTTCTCCTTGCTTTTGTTATGGGAAGCATTTTCTAAGCTTGGCTCATCACCAAGAGGCCTCATTTGGTTATAATTGCATTGATCATTGTCTACCAATGAAAAACAAACTAAAATCCAAGTGAAAATGAGTTAAAACTGATTTTACTTTTTTTTTAAATCTTTTTTTTTTTCTTCAGTGAAAATTGGCAAACTAATAAATAATTAGCCGGAATTCACCTGGGACTGCATGAGAGGATATAAGATGACATTACAAATGTCAGTCTTGAACTGAACTCCAGTGACTGGCAGGTGCTTCAAGCCACAGAAAACTTGACTGACAAATTTACAGCTTTATGGATATGAAGTACAGACCTCCGAGATATAATTTGTTGTCCTTCAGATAGTTAATATAGTCAGATTTAACTTAGAATACTGTGTTAACATAGAGTATATGTCTGTAGTCAGTAAAAGAGGGTGGATTGAAACTGAAGTAGTAATTTCTCACTGTCTGCTTTCTCTCTGTGTTGCTCTAATTGCTCTTGTGGCAATGCATAACACACTCGGTGCCTGATACGTTTCAAATTTGCAAAAAAAACAAAACTATATTAGATATAATTAACTGATGGTATTGCTGCAAGAATAACAGTGATTGCTTCAACAGACTCATCTCAATTTTGACTAAACATAGGCTGGTAGCGGAGCCATTTCTCAGCCTCTTCCACTTGAATTGCAACACAGCTTGACAGCTCAGTAAAAACCTCAGAGCCCTTTGATCATGATATGCTTATTTCGGCATTGCTCCAATTCAAGAGGGGGTCCCGCTTTAGTTACAACTCGAGTAAGATAGAGCTGAAAAAGATGTTAGAGCAACTTAACGGGGTATTTCTCAGTCTCCCTCGATCTAGCTTTCCTGTCTGCTCAGATCACAGATACATACTGTTAAGTAAAAGATACAGTAGGTAAGAGACAGAGGGAAATCAGGAGTACTGAGTAAGTTGCCATGTGTCTGAGTGAGAGAGCGTGACGCTGATAGTAGGGTCAGAGAAGAGTAAAGTTTTGATATCTAAAACTTTCAGAAGCAGATTTGTGTTCAGAAATGAAGCTCGGGTAAACATGTCCAGAAATCAGACCTTTAATTCCACATTAATCCTCTTTACTGCAGCCCTGTCCATGGCTGACACGGTTGCCCCATGGAAAAGCCTGCTACCGGTTTGGAACACTGACTTTGAAGTCCGATGTTTCTATCGGGGTCCTCAAGTAGTTATCGCATGGTAGCTTTCCCTCGGCTCTTCATGGGATTAAAAACTCTGTTTGTTTGTTACAGTATATTTCTTCTTGTATTTCCTATTTGGAAGATACATGATGGTTTTCACCCAACAGCGACATTACAGTATGTAACCACTGAATAAAGTTTTAGTATTTTTTGATCAGAACTTTTGTTGTGTTGATCCAATCAGAACAGCATTGTTCTTTAAGGAATTAGTAAGCCTTTACTTGGTGGATTTTTGTCACAATGAAAATCTCAGCTCAGCTTTATGTAGATTTTACATTCATGCATGTTGAGACTCATACACATCATGGTGTGAATAATGATCTAAAACAACAAAAAGCAAAGCCTCTTGGATAAGTTATAACAGGCTTTAAATCCACAACATGTTATTTTGTGTGTACAAGTTAGTAATTTGTTTGCTTATTGAGTCACAAGAAATTTACAGAATATTTATTTTTTATACCCTTTGGGTTTTGTATGATAGAGATGGCTAACGCTGAACAAAAAATATGAAATCAGTTTCTATGCTTCGTCTTTAGTCAGTATCAACATATTTTACTGCAGCCATGATTTTCTTAAAAATTATGTTTGTTCTCCAACAAAAGGAGGGAATTACTCAGAGCTTGAGCTTTTGCCCATTGTATCCAAAGCAACAACCAAAGGTAATCGTTTCAATTCAGAGACAAAGAAAGCAAAGAAATGTGTAAGCGTGTGCGTTTGATTAGAAGAGTTTCGAAGAGTGCTGCAGTAAGAGTTTGGTGACACTTCAAAATGATGAATGATTTAATTTCATGTTTTGTTCTGCCCTTTGAACAGTTTTATTTTGTGAGTATTTATGTTACCCTAAAAGTAAATTGCAATACAGCAACGGCAGGAAAACAATGCACATTGCATCTAATTCTTTATGGTTTGCTTCCTACGGTACTTAGTCATATTGCTGTTTCACTTTGCCATGAGGTATAGACTGAGAAACGAGGGTGATGTACCAATATGTTGCTTCACTGCTTAGACCAGGTCAAGGGCTTTCTTATTACCCAAATTTCCACGGAGTGCATTTACAGAGCCATATGAATGTTTGAGCAAGTTTGCCTTTCTATGACTCTGTATATCATCTGTTCTCAGTACTAAAGCACTAGAACACTCGATGACTCATCAAACCTTGTGCAACAGGGGAAAACCCACCCATCCACACACAAATACACACACACACTCACACACACATCCATTGTGAATGCAGAAAGATGTCTGGCCCTAGCGATTTTGGCTAGCCTCTCTTTAACAATGCGGCATGACTTGGCACATGCTGGGCTGCTGTTCCCCCTTTGACTGCTGGGATTGGTCTGCTTATTGTGAGCCCTCTGCTGCACATCACTTTTGATTTGTGTGTGCAGCGCAGGGTTCTTTTAAGTGGTTTCCTGTATAGTGAACACAGATACACACACACTCAGATCTCTGGGGACAGCAACACCTGCCTGCAGATTCATATCCTGTAAACCCCAGGAAACAGAAAGACAGGAGTGCTTGTTGTGTTTTGTCACGCTTTAGATCAGGAGCAAAGAACGAAACCTGCCTTGAAGCCCTTGGAACCAAGCCTGAAGATGCCTGTACTTTCAACACCTGCACATGGTTCAACAGGTGTTGAAAAGTACAGGTTGTTTACCCACAATTCTGATTAAATGCTCCAGGAATAAAGTATTGTATAACATGGCACCTGCATAAAGTGTTATTCTTTCTCTGTCTATTGTCACCCCTTCATCGCCTGTTCTGTCATTCTTTCTCATCCTTCAGACATCCGGGGTTTGCAAACCTTTATGGACCAGTCGTCTCGGCTGGGTCTGGATGTTTCCTTGCAGAGGGTGGACCGCAATGTCAGCCGAGTCTTTTCTGACCTCTTCAACACGATGCGCACTGAGGAGCTCAACCGGTACCGGGACACTCTGCGGCGGGCTGTGCTGCTCATGAGCCCTCGAGGTGCACAGGTGTTCATCCACCAGGTAGGTTACATATCTGCATGAAGGGATCAGCAACGTAAGCAGAGAAGCCGTGAAAGAGCAAGACAGAAAACAAGCATTTATTCAATAAAGATGATCACCCATGAACGGAAGCATACTTGCTTTGTACCCGATATCTGACAGCTGATCAAACATTTTATTAGTAAGTGTATAGGATTGGGACTAGCAGTGAAGTTGCACATTGCAACAATTTGAATACAGCTTAGCCTTCCGAAATCCTGTAGAATAAACTATGGTAGCTGTGAAACTTGCGAAAGGCCCTATCTAGAGTCATTGTTTGACTTGTTTGTTCTGGGCTACTGAAGAAACATGGTGGTTCAAAAAGGTGTCCACTATGAATATTATATTCCATTTCTGCCAACAGATGCTCCTAAATATCACACACTGGACCTTTAATAATAACTAGTAATAGGAGATAATTTGCCTAGTTTTAATTTGGAAGTTGCCACTAAGATCACACTAGTGACCCTTACCTTGTTAAAACTGATGAAACAAGATGCAACTGCCTGTCGGCACCCATGTGGAGTTCCAACAAAAGTCAGATGGCAGATATCAGACTGGCATGTGTTTTGCCTTTGATACCACATTTCAGGTCTTGATATTCTGCATCAAATGTTACAAATATCTGTAACAGAAACACTACATCCATTCAGCCTTCACTGTACTGCCAGTGAAGGGGGTTTGTTTACTGTACAGATCAGCAGCACTGCATATAACCCCAGGCAAAGTTCAAACAAAGTCAAAGTCAACTGTTTGTAGCCACAGAGGAATCATTCTTAGCTCATACTATCATAACTAGGAAGCTGTTACTAACCTTGCTCCTTCCATGTCATGTTTGCTAATTATAGCAGTTGGAATCAGAGGAACACGTAGGAGTTAATGCATCCAACTCTCCACTTCAGTGCACATATTTTCCTCTTTCATTGCACCTTGCTAAGTTCAGAGTTCATTCATTTAGCTGTCTTCTCCTCAAAACCATTTAAACGAGATGAACTACTGTGTCATAACTGACCTAAAAACCAGTAAACTAAAAATAATTGGGATATGTTTGTATATGTTCTCCTCACTCAGAAATGAAAGGTTTTCCTTTAATCATCTGCAGGGGTTTTTCTCATGATAACCACTCGGTCAAATCATGTTGAATAATAATATACTGTAGTGCTTTGGCATGATTGAAGAACTGACTCGCGTAGCATTGGCAGTGTTGGAGACAGTGAAAAATATGGCAACATAAAAGTGCGCTGAGTAGCTTGTTCTGCCCAGCAAACACGTCACAGCCTGACACTTAATCTTCTTTTTCATCTGGCAAGGACAGTGACACACTGATAAAACACTGAAGATTTTCCAAGTCAAATGAAAAATTTGGACTGCAAATACAGGGCAGCAGACAAAAGGTTGTTAAAATATGGTTGTAGATAAAATTCACACACCCATTTAACAGTAACAAAGCTCTGCCAAGAAGGTTATGTTTTCTGTGCTGTTGGTTTGTCTGTCAGCAGGGTTACGGAAAAACTACTGGGCCGATTTTCATAAAACTTGGTGGAAGGATGAAGCATGGGGCCAAGACAGAACCCATTCAATTTTGGAGTGGATCCAAAACATAGGGCGCATACACAAATTATTTTTTACTTTCGTGACATTGCGAGATAGGTCAATTGTAACACTGGTGACTATGGTAGAAGGAAGTGAATTTGTTGTGTGAACCCGTTGTAATTAGAGTACATGCTGAGCCTACAATACAATACAATCAAAAAACATCCAGCCACCTCAAACATCACTGTAGAAAGGAAACATCATGGCACTCATTTAGTTCCATGCCAGTCTTTTACATGTTGCTATATCTACTTTTTTAATTTAGGGATTTTTGTTAACCAGAAGGCAAATTCATATGACAAACCCATTTATGATACTTGGTTGGTCAGTTTTCTATGTCATTGAAAAAGGTCAAGACTACAGAGACTGTGAACCAACGAGTTTGGGTTTTTAGAATTAACTAAGGATGTCCTCATCCGATCTCAACAATCAGTATCAGGGCGGTTTTTAACTGATTGGTATTGGCTACACTGAGCTTTATTGATCCGTTCTGATCTTTTTTACGTCAGCTGTCACACAGCTGTTTTTACTCACAAAGCTTTTATGCACAGTGCAGCCATCTTCAGCTCTCTCTGTCTCTTTCCTCCACTCTAAACTCGGTGTCAGTGTGAGAGCAGAAGCAGCCAGAGACATCCGACACAACCACACTCAACAAGCCACTGCAAGTACCACAAACAAAAAGCCAATAAAGGTAATTAATTAATGTAATTTGCGCAAAAGATGTACAGACAACAGAAAAAAACACTCAGCAGAAGGCCAAAAGTTAATTCAGGTAACTCAGGCAAAAGATGTACCAAAGCACCAACAGGGAAGAGAGAACTCCCTCCAGACAGCAACAAAATATAAAAAAATTTAAAGATTTGGCTTCTGTTAAATGGCCATTTACAGTTAATATACATCAGTATTCTGTTTTTAGCCTATACTTGACACATTCCTGAAGGTTTCTTGCTTACAAATTAATGACTGGAAAAACATAAAAAGAAATATTGTATCAAGCCCAATGTTTCTTTTGTGGGTTTATATTCATTTTCTTGTTCACAGAACACTGACAATGTATTTTCTTTCTTTCCATGGTGGAGAACCTTTTCATATTTACTGTAAAGTCACCTGCAATGAAAAAGAAAGACTAAACTTAAGCTCTGAGTTATGACATTTCTGTAGGCCACTATAACTATACTTATCCATCTTCCTTAGTGAAGATGAGTTTGTGTTAGAGTATAGATATAGGGAACTAAAATGTCATGATGTTGCATTGAAATGCTTTATAAAAGGAGCATTAAAATACATCCCAATGTATGTCTTTATTGCATTTGGAGCTCACTTGCATTTAAAAATCACTGGAGTGAGAGAGAATGACATATACTGTGCCATATGTCCTACAGTCCTGTCTATAATGAATTTATTGTCTTAAAACCTTAAAGAATCCACATGACATACTGTAAACATGTGATTGCCTCTGTGTCTCAGAAAGGTTTTACTCTTGATAGACTGTTTCGCTCTTTATATCTATTGTGCTGACTCATTCAATCTTTTTATATATTGTGAGCAAATACCATAGAAAAAAGTCTGAACTAACAATAGGTCAACACCTGACATGTATTCCAGTTAGTTTCATGTAAATGCTACAGTATTAATCTAAAAGTGAAGGACTTGTATTCAGATAAATCAGTTCACAGGTTGAAAGTATACCAAGGCTTTCAAGTTTCATTAATGACATACTCCTTTGATCTTTCCCTGTAGTCAATGAATTCTGTTTTAGTACACATAGACACACACACACACACACACACACACACACACACACACACACACACACACACAAACTACTGTAGATATCTTTCCTTCTCATAAGTTTGCATTTAATCTCACCAATTATACTCTTTATCATTCCTTATACAATTAACATAAGGCATCTTGGGGACTAAGAAATAAGCACAGCCTCACATTCAGCAGAGCTCCCAAATGCTCCTGTGAATATGTTAATATATTAAAAGTGGTGGAGATTTGTTAATTCATCAAAGCTTCATTAATACCTTGGTAACTGTTGTCAGAGAGCATACCAACTCCCCACCAGAGTTACTGGGGGGAGAAAATGTAAATGTGCTAATATCTGAATGGAGAATGATGATGATGCCTTGGAGAGTTAAGTACTCATGAACTGGTTCAGCACAAGAGAAAAAAAGTAAAGTTGCCATGGTGATAGAAGTCGACAGAATGCCGGATCAAAAAATCATCACAGGCGACTTTTTTTTGTGAGGGTAATGTAAATGTTAAGAAATGTGGTCAAATAAGAGATTTAGTGGTATTAGTGGCCGCAATGATTTGTGCATTGTGAGTGAAACTATATGAAATTGATCAGCTGTGCCAGGGTAGCACTGTTTACCACAGAGACCCGCTCTGTTTTCCACTCTTTTCTGTATTTGTCATCTGTGCATTTCAGAGTTTGTTCAGCTCTATTTTTTTCTCTTCCTCTCTTCTGCTCTGCCCCACTCTGTGCTTATTCATTTACTTTACCTATAAACGAAAGCAAAGAAACCCAGGATGACCACAAAGAGATGCAAAATAATACAAGACACAAAAAAAATGCAATACGTCTATAAAAAGACACAGAATGACTACGAACAACTCTTCTCTGTCTGTCTATCTTGCTCCTATGTTGGGGATATGGGACGTTTTTCACATGTCTGTGTCCAGGGGCCCATTTCTCATAATCTGTCTATGCCTTCTTATTCCTCTACAAGGTCAGATGGGGATGAGGGAAAAATGTCCCAGTATGCATTGGGCAGATTAAAGAGAGGCACCTTTGTCAGGCCGACAGTTCATCAAAGGACTAATATAGCCAGACAATATCCATAACTTTAATTCCAAGTTCTTAATGCACCTAACTAACAGTAAAAAGCATAAGTACTTCAGCAAAAGTCATCCTAAGTCACATATTCTATTCTGATCATGCTCTACTTCCCTGAATAACATATTCTGTCACAAGTCAGTTGTCACTTCTACAGTCTACTCTCAGGCCACAGTCATTTCTCATACTTTGAACAAGATGCATATGTAATTGACAGTGTCTGCGGTTTTATGCTGAAATTCTGGGCTCTTGTTTTCTCCCGTCCAGACAGTTGCCATCTCGCCTCTCGTTCATTTTGGCCATGAGAGGATGTAGCGTCTTCTGTCAGCTTTAGTGTCCCCTCGTTCCTGACACCCAACTACTCTCTGTTCCCTTCATGACAGTTGAACTTCACTTGAGTCACGCGAGCCTTTTAGAGGGCCATAAAGTGAAATTTTAAGCTTTCAACTGTCCGATTTGTATGTCCTTGGGTTGTATTAGTGAGCATTTGCTAAATCACTTACATAAAACGATGCACATTTAGGTACAAAAACTTGACACA